GGCAAGTTTTTATTGGCTGAGGCATTTCCTCAAGCCCACTGGTGAATATTTTGATTCACAAACATCTGGGAACTGGAATAATTTTTTGGCTTTCACCATAATAAAAACACATATATGCCTGCAACACCAAATACAATCAGAGAGAATGTCCAGTCTGCATATGGGCCACTGGTTAAAAAGACTTCCTTTGCAAAGTGAATTATCTTTGGAAGATTAAACTGCGTTTTCTAACATGTGAATATAAGGAATTTAAAGATTCCTACGAGCAAATATTCCTAATAGAAATGATATGCTGTGAGGCTCCCCTGTTCTACGTGTGCACGAAAGTCAATGGTTTCAAAGCATCAGAATTGTTCATGGCCTTAGATGTCATGGAAATGTTTCATGAACAGGGTGAAGATCTGGATGTATGAACACATGTTTCTAAACAGGGTCCATGTCTTTTTATGGTCTTTTAGCCTCCCTGGCCTAGAACTCTCTATGCAGACCAAGCTGGCCTTGAACTCACAGAGATCCACCTGGCTCTGCCTCCCAAGTTCTGGGACTAACGGCATGAGCCACCGTGGCCAGCTGAGGGTGCATTTCTTACATAGATCAGACACCTTCTTGCCAATACACACCCATTATTATTAATCAATCAATTTCTGAAAAGCACAGTGGGGAATTACTTTGGGTTGGTCACTTATCTTTTAAGATCTTCATGTTGTATTTATAGTCAATGAACGATTAAAATATACACTTTGAGTAATATTAATCAGATCAATGTTGGTTTCAGCCTTTCTATTTCAAGTCTGGTTTCTAGGGTTACCTATTCATTTATAATTTCTTAGAAACCTAAAGTCGTATACACATAGTGTATTAGTTACTGCGATAAAACGCCATGTTAAGGCAACTTATTTTTATTTTATTTTAATTATTATTGTTTGTTTTATGTGTATGCATGTATTGCCTGCACGTAGGTAAGTGTATCCGTGTCGTGCAATGCCTACAGAAGTCAAAAGAGTACGGAAGTCAGAAGAGACTGTCGGATCCCCTGGGACTGGAGTTATGGACAGTTGTTAACTGCCATGTGGGTGCTGGGATTTGAACCAGGGTCTTCTGCAAGAACAAGCAGTGTTCTTCACTGCTGAGCCATCTCTCCAGCCCCAATCATGGCAACTTATAGAAGGAAGAGTTTATTTGCCTTATGGTAGCACAAGGATTAGGGTCTATGGGGCAGGCTTGGCAGCCTATGGGGGACATGGTTATGCAAAGCACCACGCTTTCTAAGATTAGTGTGATGGTATATAAAGTGATGTTTATTCACCTCAGGTTTGACTCTCTTATTACACAATCAATACAGACACATCTACACAAAATACAAATAAATAAATCTTTTAAAACATTGAAAGTAGAAAATAAGTAAAATCTCACACAAGAAAAAGGTAAAGAAATGGATCACATTCATGCAAGAAAATGTTGTCTGTCATGAATTAAGAGAATGAAGGAACATGAGATACTAGTGATTCAAGACTATCAGAGTGATGTTCAGGAGCAGTGGTAAATGTAATGCCAGCATGCAGGGGGCCCAGTCAGGAGAAGGAGGCCTTTGGGCCATCCTTGGATACACCACCGCTTTCAAGGCCAGCCTGGACTCAAGAGACCCTGTCTCAAATATAAATTAATTAATAGGGGCTAGAGAGATGGCTCATGGGTTAAGACCCAGGTTCAGTTCCCAACACCCACAGGGCAGCTAACAATGGTCCTTAACTCCACTTCCTGGGGATCCTATCCCTCTTCTGGCCTCCTAATACATGCAAGCAAAACATTCATACACATAAAAATAAATCGAAATTGAAAACAGTCCTCTTTTCCCATTTGTGAGTTACTGCTTGGTAGAAGTTATGATTGGGAACAGACACCATTATTCATTCATACAACAAATCCTACCTTCTAGGGGGTGGGAGATCACACTACTTACCAATGAATGAACCTATTTCTGGTGACAGAAAACAACTTGCCGCTTTCCACATAATAGAAGCCTCCCGCGCTTTCACCGTATTTCACAGCTCCAAACACAGCACTGGCAGTCCCTGCAAAATGAATGTGGTCAGCCTGCACATGTGGTTCCCTGGGGATGACAGGCTCTGTGCGCCGAGGAAACAGTGCCCGGGACCGACAGTGAGAAGGGGGTAAAGGAGGTAGAAGTCAGGAACCAGGGAGGGTTTGATGCACAGGCTCTAGGCATGTGGACTTGGAAGGATGAACCCGGGAGGAGGCCAAGGGCCTATAGGAAGAGCCCGAGGGGGAGGATCAGATCCTGATCTCCCAGGCCTCTGCCGTACCAACGCCGCAGGCTGTGAATTCGCGGAAGTGCCTGGGCCTTTCGCGCTCCGCTCCGCTCAGCTCCACGAAGCTCCGTTCCAGGGCTCCCGCCGCCGCCATCTTCCCGCCGCTGCCGCCGTCACTGCCGCAGCCGCGAGGCCTGACGGGACACGGGCGAACCGTGTGGCTGTCGTCACTTCTGGGGGCGGGGCGAGAGGCGCGGGGGTTGGGGCAGGTAGCGCTGGAGGAAGAGAGCAGGTTAGCCGGTGGACTGGGGTCTTCCGTCTTCCACCGCGACCGATAGCGTGGGTACGGAGCAAGTCGACTCCACTTCGGGCATCTCCGGGCGGCTGTCGCGGCCCTTGTAACCTCAGGCAGGGGAGGG